AAATGGACGCAAACTTAGAAGGAGTGTTGAGTAAAATGTTTCTTGTTAGCTGGCTAATTTCCCATATCGTGAAAGACAAGGTCAAGGTGGAAAATTATGGCCGGCGGCTGTGATGACGATTTAACAATTTGTTTTTGTCAACGACAAAATATTTAATTGCTTACGCTGTAGAAAGAGGCTGCTGGAAATTGTCTATGTAACTAATTTTGCCTCTCAATTAAACAAATTCTACTACATACTATCTCGAGTATACAGTAATCCGATTGACCATTATTTATGATCGGAAGAAGAGTTGAATATGTCCTACAGATCTTTATAATTTGCACTATGGACTCGAAGCGAGCCGGTGTGAACTAAAATCTAAGGTTCTTTGCCGCCTAACCTAAAAGCCTTAATATCACCCCTAACTCATAACAAACAGATTCCTCATGGTCCTAGATAGACATAGTGATGACCTCTGCATTCAACCAAAGCTTTTTACTTCATCCAAGAATCACATTAAAGGCGCCTGGATGTATGTAGATCTGAAATTCTGCGACATCGCGGTCATTTGCGTTCCCGCTCCGCCGAAATGGCCTTCTATTTGGCGCCCAAAGATCTCTTTACGAGCGCTTGGCGCACACCACCATCGCTGCCCCCGTCACGATACCAAAATTGTGGTAGCCGATTTCAATGCGATGCCGGGAAAGCAAGGAACCTTTGGTCCAACAGTAGGATAATTCAACATCTGATAGCGGATTGAGTTTTTGAACCATGAAAAAGCATCTGTGAAGTGCAGAAGGAAAGCGTATTGAACAAAAAATTCAATCAAACAAATATCAAAAAACAGTCAAAAATTTCTCCGTTTCACAACAATTTTCGGTAATTGTTGGTACAAACATACATTTCTGCCGCACACTTTAGTGCGATAACGTATCAAATATTGGAAAGTGGAATCGATAAACGGACAAAAATCCGCATTTTATCCACTTTTTTTTCCTTTTTCGGTCAATTTTCCGCCGAAATTGCCGTGCGCCTATCCCGCTTGTTACGTGCTGTAACAAAATAAATATATTGTTTCCAAGGGCTTGAAAAAACACCTCCCACCTGGTGAACCCACCACTGACCAAGTATTAACCATACTGTGTAAAATCACATTAAGCAAGATCATCAGCTCCGTCAAATCTGGGAGAGGGCTCTCTGAGCCAAACAAGCTTTCAGGCAGGGTGACTCTGTACCGTACGACTTCTTTGCTCTGATGGAGGAGAAGATACGGTTACAATTACAACGACATCACCTTAACACTTTGGCCATTTGGCATCCTATATAATGCTGTACAGAGGTGGAGTCTAGCTTTCTGTCTGTACCGCAGACAACGCAACCATGAGCTGTATAAGCTTTATATCGAAGTATATCGGCTCCACTGACTTGGTCATGTCATGAAAGTGTTAGGAATGTCAGTAGCCAAAATACATCAATGTATTTCTTTGATTCGATACGTCGAAATATACATCGATATATTTACATAACATACATCGATGCATCGATTGGCATAACACTTTTCAGATATTATTTCAGAGCAAAATATGTTATTAGCAAAAGTGTACAAAATTTTTAAATTAATTACCGTAAAAGCTTAAACAGACGGCAGCGTTTATCCGGATTAACTCGGACTTAACCCGGATCAACTGTAGCTAATTTGCGAGTTGATCCGGATCAACGCTGTCGTCTGTTTATGCTTTAATTGAGCTACCTAGTTATGTTTCTAACGGAACTTCTTCGAGCCATTTTAATTTTTTGGTCAAACTCACTCCAGTTTTTCGCACAATTGAAAAACTGAAAGTATGCCTTAAAAGTATGGAAACCACCTAATATTCCTCGGAAACTTTGCTGTCGTGACGCTTCCTCTGACATGTGACTTTAACGAGTGAGCTTCTTGGGGAATTCCTCAGACTCGAAGATTTTCTTTATTTGTGGTCCAACGAAGATACCGGCTGTAACTTTCGCCTCAGAGAGCTTAGGGAACAAGTCTTGTAGGTACTTGAACGCTGAAGAATTTTTGTCGAGAGCTTTGACGAATTGCTTTATAAGACCCATGCCATGCGCTGCCATGGTCACAAAAGCAAAGTTATCTTGCGACAATAGCTGTTTTCTATACTTTTGGGACCTAACTGACTAGGAAATAACAATTACAACCCAGGGACAAAAACCTTGTTACATAGTGCTATTTATACAGCGAGCGGAAAATATTGGATGCATCGAAGCAAAACATCAATATTTTCGATGAATCGATGCTTCTTCGACATCCCTAGAAAGTGTTCAATGCGGTTGCCGCTGCTCGTTGCGGAGCTAGCTCTGCCATGGCATGACCAGTTGGAGAAGGATTTGGCTGCACTTAGCATTTTCAACTTGCATTAGTTTGAATAAAAAAAAAACGACTAGCGTGCTTTGTTGAACTCGATTAAATTTTTTTAGGCGGTTACAGCAATGCTTAAGAATTGGAACAACACCATACAAGTATCAAACGAACGCTGAGGAGACCTCCCATTCCCTTAAACCGCTAGGCTTACATGGCCGTACACTTGGGAACAAGGTATCAATTCTTCTAAGAATTCTTACAGGTTACTATGAATTCGAGATTAGGAGTGAAAGTGCTGGCCTACTGTCGAAGCTGCAGATGCGTAGAATAAAAGGAAAGTGTATAGCACCTTATCTGCTGCTGCCTAGCACTTAGCAGAAGACGACTACAGACGCTCGGAAAACCGTATCTACAAAACTTTGCGGGGGTTGAGAGAGTTAACATAAGAGCTTTAACAAAGTTCATTACATCAACGAAATGGTTTTCCCCCGAGTGAGCGTTTCAGCCTCGTAGGGCGGTTATGGCTTTCGGTATAGCATTATAGAGAGTGTCAGATCCACTCCAGTAATAGAACGTGACTAGTGCTGGACCGTTCATTAATAAAAATTTTACGGTTTATGACTCTGTACAAACTCTGAGCAGCACCACAGAAATGTAATTCTGAAAAAAGGCCACGTTTTTTACAATTTCTGTGTTCACTACGCCTTATTGAATCACATAAACTAAAGTAAGATGCCCAAGTCAACCAATCACTAAGTTCTTTCTTCAAAAATCCGGCGCACTAAGAAAAAATAATAATATTACATTGTCACCAGCGCTTTCCCATAAAAATAGTCCCCATTATTTATATGAGATTCCTGCCACTTTGTTGTATTATACACTCTCCCATATACTTATGTACTCTCAAAGGCAATACCCCATGAGTCACTAATTTTGCTCACTCACTTTATTATCACTGTCGATTACCACACTTACTGTTGGATCAGAGCAGCGCGGACACTTGCACGTAAATCCTTTCTTCATTTTCAAAAACAAATGTCGTGCAATATTTCCGGTGAATAATTTTGTGTAGGATGTTGTGATTTCACTACCAGCTGGTATATCTACTGAGGCACGCACCACCATATTTCTGGTCTTCTCCTCGAACGTATAATACGAATTGGGAATGCAATCGTGATTCATGACAGCGAATAATGGGTAGAGCGCGCGGTGAGGAAATTCCTGATTGTCATTGGTGCGATCGGCGGTCTCATCGAATCCATTCGTACGCAACACTGCCACAGTACGATTCATAATTTCAATTAGTTTCTTATCGGTGGGGAACTCCATGAATCCTTTGGCGGCATTACGCACTTCAGTGCGATGATTATTATCTAAATTTGCCTGCAGACAGTAAACTAGATCGCGTTGCTCCTTCGCCAACTTGATGGCACGCCCGACACACAGCAAACGAATGAGCAAAGAATTTGCCACATCCGGTTCACTGGGTTTCCACGATTTGAAAAGTTCACAATCGGATTTGTGTTGTTGTTTTTTGCCACACAATGAGCAGACGGGCAAACCGCAACCTTGGCGACACATAAACTTCGTATCAGGCAACATTTTAAAGCACACCGAACACGAATTAAGCGTATCCTCGGCGCGTGCCGCGGGACCGATCAGCAGCGGACTATCGCGAAAAATCACATCACCGCGTTTGAGGTCGCGCGTGGCGAAAATGCCACGCCCAGCAATTTTAGAAACACCTATTTCCCATGCAGGATCGGTGTCCTTGAAGGGCGCCAAATGGAGTGTAATTAACTCCGCAGTGCGCTTTGGACAAATCATAATTTTAGAAAAATATGTACTCTTATGTTTGTACGTATGTATGTATGTATGTATTCACAAGCACTTTATTGTAGTTTTATAATATTTTGTCTTTGGATTATTTTAAAAATTTCTATCACTTTTTTGCACACGACTTCCTTTAATGTCTATAGAATCAGTCTGTTCAGCAGATTTTTTTTTTAATATTTCGCGCTACGTAGCCGTTGGCAAACTGTCGCCGTTTTCCAGCTTACAACGCTTTTATTCGAAAATTGCCGAATTTTTCAAATATCTTTGTGAAATATGCTTGATCTCAAAATAAATGACGACGCGATCGCCATGATCTAACAGCGCCGAGCGCAAGCATTGTACACTTTCGTTGAGAGTGAGTGCGAACATGTGAGTGAAATTAATGAAATCTTTTCAAATTGCTTAATTTGACTTTAATTCGATTCAAATAGAGTGTTCGAAATGATCTAGACCATTGCGGGTGTCTGCAAATAGTGATGTGATTTACGCAAATAGTTACCAAGTTGTTGAGTAGGTAAGTATTCAATTTAGATTTGTAGACACGATCAATTCAAAAATTTGTTTAAAGTATATTTATAGAAATTATCACTTGATGAAGCCAAGCTATAATCAGCGAAGCAGTAGATCGGGCGGGGGTTTAACCTTTCTCCTTATGAAAGTCGATAATAAATAATCAATCTCCTGATCCCGCATGAAAGCTCGTAACAAATAATCTATCCTTTTGAGGTCGATCTTGAACTCAACCGTCGATAAGTTCATGATATTATAAAGCTCTCACAGTTCGCCATACCATCTTCTTTGCCATATATCACTCACTCAGATAAGACCATCGATCTTGCGTACCATTGTCGAGAGCAAGCTCTCCTTGTCGAGTGCCTTACGAGCCCAGAGTAACACATGCTCACAAGATTTATTTCTAACTTGATCTCAGACTGAGATTATTGATCGTGTTAATGCTGAATATTTTGCTACTTTTTAGTTATAATTGCCAACAATAACTATTGTCCCATTGCGCGAGAATCTTCTTGTGTTGCCAGGAGATAATTTGTCTTGTCTTCATTCAAAGCTTACCATTACTGGACCGTCGTTAATTATCGGAAGGTTCCGGCGTTGTTGTAAACTTCATACCATTTTTGATCAACATATTTCTGGTGCTGAATTTACTCAAAACAATAGCTGCTTAAGACGTGATTAAAGTAGTTGTTCATGACTTTTTTTCGTTCAATTCCAGTTGGTGGTATGCATTTTTAAGATCTACATAGTCCCGAAAAATATTTCGCTCCTATGTAGAAGTTTGGTCATAAATGAGTCGATTATTGAAATTTGATAGTTTTCTCTCAAAACAGGGATATCCGATGCATAGACGGATATCCCTGTTTTCGTTTAATACTACTACCCTTTAGATATCCACGGGCTAGGTCCTGTCACGGAGCCTATGATATCTATCTTGTTTCACTACTTCGCTTAACTTTTCTTCGAACTTTTTTTCTAAGGCAGCCGGAATTCAGCACATTGGGTGATGAGATTTCAATGCCCTTAGGAAATATCTAGTGATCTTGTATGTGATTTATTTCACGGCCTAGTTTTATGAAGTTTAACTGCATGGCAATCTTTCGCCCCAGTAGATGTTAAGCTTAATTTCCAATAACAAGAAAGATGGTTCAAATTTTAAACAGACCCCACGACCGAAAATATAGCGTACTAAACAGCCGTTAAGCTTAAGTCCGTTGGGCAGTTTGCATGCAGGTCCCACCAGATTGACTACGTGATCCCGCATGGGTACTTTTAGACGGATTTCAGGGTCACGAGGTCGAAGACTGTCACGAGGACAAGATGATGCCTGAATCGGTGCATGTGTAAACAGATGGATAGAAAATGCACAAGGATGCAGAAGAGGCGGATAGCGTTAGTTTAGTTAGTCCGACAAAGTTCCGGATTATTGTAAGATTTTCCATCCAGAAGATTAATCAATAAAACAGGGGGTAGGGTGGAGGTACGTTTGTAATGGATAACAGAGCATACTGGCATTACTGACAGCAAGGACACCAACAGACCCGACAAAGAAGAAGTTCTCTAAAAAGCGACTAAACTCCTACTAAAACCCTAGCAACACTTGTTAATTTTTTGGCCGAGGACCTTTCGAGAAGCTTCAGTGGTAATTTGAATTACCCCTATATTTTAGGACACCAGACTACACAATACCGCCTCTCAATCTGGAAAACAAGTTCTTGACATGTATTCGTCGTAGGAATTATCGAGAAGACGATGTGGTCTCAGGAATTCAAGATTACACTACAGCGATCATCACGGATGGCTCTTAATTAAATATAGGAATAGGAAGCGGGAAATTCAAAGAACCTCTCCTGAATCTTTATTTTAGGCTATCAGACTACTGCGGTGTATTCTAAGCAGAGATTGACTTATCGACTCTTCTCCTAATCTGCCCTCAGTAACAACCTTTTCCGATATCCTTGCAATTATAAAATCACTGGAATGCTGTTAAACCTCTCAAAAATGGCAATAGAATACAGACGAGTTACTAACCACATTGTGTGTCATAGAGACATACTACAACGTAAATCCATGTCAGACGAGCTTGCGAGGACCTGAAAAATCTGGCCCAGCTTCGAGAGGAAAATGTTGGACTCACTAAGACTAGGTAAGCGATCCGATTTATCACAGGCCACTGCTTTATGGCAAGAGGACACTATTGGCTTCACGTACCTTTAAGTAGGCTTTGAGCAATGATGAACTTTGTAGGAGGTGCGAAATGTACGAGGAGTTCGGAGCGCTTAGCAAGCACCAAATTAGGCTGCTGAGAATAGTATTTATGCCGAATTTGGACGTTCTTCAACATTATTATTTCTTTCCATAGATTAGCTGTGTAAGTGTGTCTTGATTTTCTAGCAAGTCTCTGAGAGACGGGATATAGCAGTTAGTTCTAAACGAAATAGGTAGTCGGTTTCCTTCACATTTCTTAGCAGCACTAGGCATCATTAGGCCTCAATATTTCACTCTCATTGCCGTGACAGCTCCCACGATGCGGCCACTCGGCCAACTACTCAGTGAGTTGGCAGCGCCCCAGACATACACACACATACACAAGCACACTACTGCAGCCTACAGGTGGGGTGCACCACAGCAATGACGGTATGATGCTGCAAAATATTGAATATTGGCCTTAACTGAGTGTTGGCATCTTTTTGCGCTGGCACCCAGTGGTTTTATTCATGTTTAGTGTTTCTTTTTTTTGTTTTTGTTTTTGAAGAAGCATTCCCACCCAAAACATTACTGAGGCGTTGGTTGCAATGTGGAATTATGAATTTACCGCCAGCTACCTATCAGATCTGCGAAGCGTGCGTGAAATTACGATACACTTTCGATACGTACTTATATATGTATGTATGTATGGGATGCATGTTCTTAAGTCGCTGTAGCGCTGTTGCGTTTGGCATGAAACCGGCTAATTGGGATTATATCTTCAGAAGTCTACTTTATGTTGTCTTCTGATTTGTGTTGTACGAATTTATTACAGACACTCTAATAATTTTGTTAATTTTACAAGAATTCAATACATAGCCATTTGCATATTTACATACGTCCACACATACATAGGTATCTGAGACTTTTTGTCACGAGTGCTTTGACGCAAATAATTATAGATTCAAAAAATCATATTTTTTGCATATTTTACTGCATATTCATCCTTCATACTGTTGAGTCTCGAGGTCTCGTTGCTGTTGTAGTTGACTTCGCCGTTTGCGGAGGAGCCGTTATTGGAGGGGTGTCGCGTTTTCGATTGCTCGCGAACTGCAGTATTGCAATACAAGAATGAATATTACGCCAAAATATTTGCATTTAATTTTTTTATTCTTTCACGGTATTTCGAAATGTATATGTTTCCTTCTAAAATTTGGTCGTCACATAATTCTAAATTTTAATTCAATAATATTTACGCGCATATCAAAATCGAAAATTGTCAATTAAATTTTTATATCAATTAAATTTTGCACATTCATTGCAGCGCAACGAAAAGCGTTGTAAAATACGTGGATTTGTGTCAAAATTAATGCAAACTTTAAAATTTGTTTTTTTCAACTGTTAAATGCATGGCAAATACCTACTATTGCTACATATGTAGTTGTTTACACCTACAGTGACTCAAACAAATGACCACGTATTGATTTTCTTCAAATATTCGTAATGTTTTTCGAGCTATTTTTTTTTTGTTATTTTTATATAAAAATATCGTCTAAGCTTCAACCAAAACCGTGTAAATCACAGTTTCAAAATTTATACAAAATTTAGGAAAATTCAACAAATTTTCATCAAAATAGCAACTTTTTATTCTTAATTTTTGGAAAATTTTTTGGTATGCAGTTTTATAGCACATATAATTTTAGCCTAATGAAGTGCTAGTTTCAAAAGGCTAAAAAATTGCATTGATTTTTGACTTTTTTTGTGACGGATTTTCGATTTTTTTTCATATAAGTCTGAATTTCTTATGAAATAAACGCGGAAGACCGTGAGCAACAAAATTTCAAAAACATCAACGCAAGTTGAATTTTGAAAAGTTGGAAGCTGTGATTTACTCGGTTTTGGTTAAAGCTTATATAAAAATAACAAAAAAATTTTGCTGGAAAAAAATATTACGAATATTTAAAAAGAAACAACACGTGGTCATTTGTTAAGTCACTGTATATTGCTGCTACCTGACGCACGCGGAGCATTTCTTCGCCAGCCGCTGCTTGCTATGCGCTCGTTGGGTCGGTCGGTGGTTGTCGTATGGTGGCATGAGCCTGCTAAAGGTGACCAGATAAGAACGTTAGCAAAAGAAATCAAAATGAAATACGGTCAACGAGGACAAGACGAGGTTTTTCCCGTCATCTAACAAACAGTCAAGGCATTCGAGTCTTGACCCCCATGTCACTGTTGACAGTTATAATATCGATAAAGTGGAGAACTTCGTTTACTTGGGAACCAGCATTAACACCGATAATAATGTCAGCGTCGAAATTCAACGCAGAATCACTTTTGCCGACAAGTGCTACTTTGGACTGAGTTGGTAATTAAAGAGTTAAATCCTCTCTCGACCTACGAAAACCGCATCCTATAAGTAACTCATCATGCCCGTGTTGGTATATGGCGCAGAAGCATGGACAATGACAACATCCGATGGGCTGGCTCTTGGAATATTCGAGAGAAAGATTTACGAACCTTTACGCGTCGGTGACGGCGAGTACCGCAGACGATGTAACGATGAGCTATATGAGCTTTACAACGACATAGACATGTGCAGTGCAT